CCGTGCCGTGTGTACCACCGGTGGTACACGTTAAACTTGATCTTCAGGCCATAGAAGTGGAGATAGCTCAGTCGGTAGAGCATCAGACTCTTAATCTGAGGGTCCAGGGTTCGAACCCCTATTCAGGCGGAAAAAAAGATATTGTCCTTTAGGACAACAGCACGAGAAGAGCTCTGTGTGTATAAAAAGGTCCCAGAGCTCTCCCAACGTGCGGAGGACGGCCATTGTGGATGTTTTAGTCGATAAAAATCCGACACTATCTGAGTCTTTCTTTAAAAGACTCAGGTGTCTTATCGAAGATTTCCTCCACGTAAAAAAAAAAAAAAAAATCTTCAGTCCACGTGTACCACCGGTGGTACCAGGCCACGTGTACCAGCATATTTCTAATAATATTACCACAAGTGGTAATATTTACAGGATGTGATAGCTACTCTAAACAAGAGAACTACTTATCGATTGATGATGTAATCAAATGGCCTGAACGACAACAAAAGGCAAAAATCGCTTGGCACGGAACGTGTTAATAATAAGATTCACTTGATTCAGTTGGGTGAAATTTCTACAGATCTCGAAGAGCCATGTCGATAAAATCGAGCCGTTCCGGCAACAAGCGGCCGCGGTCGCCAATATCAAGAGGAACGTACTCGAGAAACTGGAGAAGACAACGGGCTCTTTGGAGGAGCTGCAAGGCAAGCTGCAGGAGAAATGCGAACTATCGAAAATGGCGGTGGAGGACGTGATCCCCAAGGGGGACGAGTTGAAAAAGTACATAAATCGTTTGAAAACCAGGGGAACGCTTTACAAACATTGTAAATCCGAGTTGGCGTGGCTTAACGCGGAAAACAGTGTTTTGCATCGAACAGCTGCCATCTTGGAAAATCAAGTATACCTTTTTATTCATTACAGATTATATACAGTAATATTTGTTAACTGGTATAGTTTGAATTTATTAATGTAATAATATTGGTAATGTTGGTCAGTACAATCAGTACAATCAGGCGAAGGAAAGATTGGAAACCGTGAGGAAGAACACCCCGGCAAATTTCACGCAGGAAAATGCGTCCTCGATGAATCTCCAACTAAGTCGAGACATATCGGCCTTTAGGTCGAGATTGGTCCCGTTAATAAGTGGTAATAAAAATTCATACGTAACGAAATATATATATATATATGTATTACGTATACGTATACACACACGTGTAATATATATTTTAAAAAAGGAATTTGAAAATTTTTGATAATGTAGAAGTGCAAAATTTGAGAGGAAAGTGTCGAGAGTTCGAACAGAAGCAGGAAAAAGCGAAGAAAGCGCAAAACGAAGTGGAATCAAGCATGAACACGTCGATTAATAATTTACAGTCCGAACTGGAGAGTAGGAAAGCAAAAATGGCAAAGGTAATTGTTCCCGTATCTCCTGTATGTAAGTTTTATTTAATTATACAATAAGTCATGTATGCGTGAAAGGATGCGGAGGAGAAGGAGAAACTGCGGAATCTTGTAATTAAAATGAAAAACATGGAAGAAAGAATAAAACGAGACGTGGAGGTTTGTTGAAATCTAATTTTAGTTTCTAGCTTAGTTTTATTTAAACTTAAATTTAGTTTCATTATTTATCTGTAAGTATTGTGTTACATATTATAGGATCCAGTAATTTCTGATCCTGGTAAAAAGATAAAAGAGGAACTGAATTCTGCCATCCAGGCGGAGGAGACAAAGTTAAAAAATCTAATGTTGGAGAAAGAACGTTTAAAACAAACCATCGTGGTAAACGAAAAACAAACGCAGATGTGGAATGATGTATTATCGTAAGTAAAAGTATATTCTATTTTAGGAAATTAATATTTCAAATCGTTGTATATTTTATGTATAAATAAATATAGAATATTCACACATACATATTATCTTTTAGCGTGTTGAAATGTAAAATAAAATGTGCCGAGGAAAGTAAAGAATCGAATGGAATCGTCGTACGACGAGGAGGAGCAGAAACATTGGTCTTGCAGTAATACCTGTTGAAGAATAAATGTTTTTTTCGTGGCATTATTTGGTAATAAAGGATATGGAACTGGTCGAATTAACAAAACTTTAATCACGTAAAAAATACAATTTAAACTTGCACATTTCCACTTAGCAATCTACGAATTAAATTGAAAACAATTGCGTAGTAGTTAAAAATAGAGTTACAAAATGTAAACCTTCATTGAATAACATTCTTTAACGTCAGTTTTACAAAGATCAACAATCGATTAATTTGAAGAAAATAGAGGTATGCGCTCTAAAATATTTAATATCACATTTCTACGAGAACTTCTTTTCTGAAATACACACGTCTAAGTGTATTTCACGAAACAGTTATTATGCTATGCTTGTACATGTTCTTGTATTAAAATACATTAAATATATCTTTTTACAATATGTGTCGAAAGAGCTGAATCCAATGAAGTTGTAACTTTGAAGTAACAAGTGTTTCTTCTTTTAGTCTTAACAAAAAG